CTCTCTCTCTCTCTCTCTCTCTCTCTCTCTCTCTCTCTCTCTCTCTGGCGCTGGACTCCTCCAGCGCTGGACCTTCCTTGCCGATGAGCAGCGAAGCTGCCGTCCGAATAGCGCAGCAGGGAGGCTGAAATAGCGCACCAGGGAGTCTCCAAAATAGCGCAGCAGCCAAGTCTTGAACCAGCGTAACGCTGGATTTCTCCTGGTACCTCCCTCCTGAACTGGGCGCTGGCCCAGCTTAAGTAGTGCTGGGCCGGACCCAGTAGTCCACGGCCTGCAATCTGGGCCGTGTAGATCAAAGCTTGATCCGCGGTCCAGATCGCAGGCTTCAGTCCTTGGCCAAAAAAACGGCCTGCCTGGGTCCCTACCGGACGTCCAGGCCCTGCCTAGGTCTGGCCGATTTGGTACCTGGCCCGATTCAGGGCCTGTGCAAATGCATCAGGCCTGAACATCTGTCCAGGTCCAAAGTCTGTCCGAACACGAGTAAAGGCCCAAACGTCTGGCCAAAAACGAGTAAAGGTCCAAACGTTTTTCTGAAAACGAGTAACGGTCCAAACTGAATCAGAGGCTCAGCCTCTGGGCCTGATTCCGGCCCTGGTCCTAACTGTGTACCTGGCCACAAAACGGACAACAGCACATTAGAAAAAACACATCAGTAAATAAATAATTAAGAAATCAACTTAAAGTTGAAGTCTTTCCGATGCAGGCCTAAGTGAAATGGCCGTAGGACCTCCAGGTTGCGGTGACGCGACCTGGGGGCCCTTATCCAACCTCGGGTCCCGTGAGGGGCCCGTGTGGAGGCTCTCAGCATGTAACAGATAGTGTAGCAGCGGCCATAGCCGCTATAGCTGTAGGTGTGTGCGGGTGTGTGTGAGTGTGCAGAGTGATGCGTGTGGGGTATCCAGGGTGATCCTGTGAGCGAGCAGCAGTGTCGAGTGAGTGACGAACAGAGAGTTGTACAGGCGATGTGCCGCCATAGCCAGAGGAAGTGAACTTGTATCTGAACTGAGTTCTTGGTAATATATCTCTGAGTTCTGAGTGGGCGCTTGACGCCAGTTTGCTGCGCAACCCGTTTGCATACATGTGAAGTGTGAATGAATGCGAGTCTGATTGCAAAACGGACACACACGGTCACATGCATTGAATATGACGGGTGCCAAAAAAAGTGCTCCTGTACAAATGCAGGCACTGCCACTCCACTGGGGTTGGCGTAACCCAAGGGATGACCGAACTACCACGCCGCTGGAATACAAAACTAAGGTGGGATACAAGAAACAGACAAAATCCTGGGCAGTTCCCTTGAAATGAAGAGTAAATGGGTGGCACAGGAGAAGGCAAGGACACAGAGCAACAGAACAACAAATAACTGGCTTATCACAACACCAAGGACCTTGACAAAATGTGGGTATCCTTTTGAAAACTCCATCCGTGGCATTTGCAGACCTGGCATAGCTGCAACCGCATAGGGGCCTGATAGGGCGGTCCGTACAGCAAGCTGGTTGCGTCAGAACAAGGTGCAAATTGAAAACGAATGCCACAGATGCAAGAAATCCCCCAAAACGCCAGCCTGAAGATATCTTTGGTGGGAATATATGGAATCTAAAAGAGGATATGAATGTGGGAGTGGCTATTGGGAAAAGTTTGGTGCCCAGGAGATCAGATGGGACAAAAGATACATACTGGATGGTATTATACTTCCCAAAGGGGTCTCCTTGGTGATGGGATGAGGGTGTATAACGGTTGCGACGAGGGCAGCTATTACGAATGTTATGGAAAATACGCAATGACAGATTGTTCAAGCAGAGATTCTACTCAGACAGTTTGAAAGTCATACTACAGACAGTTCTGGTTAACATCAGATCCATGATCTGGGCAGACCGAAGGAAGTGGAGTAAAACGCGAAGCCAGCTACAAAATACAGATGGGTTTTCTAGCACCTGGATGATGTAAAGTAAACTGGTAAGGAGAGGAAAGAATGGAGCCATCATAATTTCACCATGGCTCCTGGGCCCACGGGGCCCGTGAATTGGTAAACGTAGGGAGATGGGAGGAGCTGGCAATAGAAAGATCAGGAAATAAGTGGGGTTAGGCTAAGCACGGTTACACGCAGGAATGTTCCTGTGAAAGAACAGGAGTAGGAGAATATTTGAATCATAACGGAACAGCCATGGCGATCTTAAGAAATCTAGCAGACTTGGAGAAGGTCACACAGACAAATTGCTTATCCGGCGCCCAGTAAGGTATGTTGAACCCGTTTTTGGCACGTGATGCTCCCCACGAAAAGAAACAAGCCGTACTTTTTATTCGTATCTTGTTCCTTATTTTCCCTTTGTTTTCAGGGCCTGGTTGCACTACTCTCCATACGCCAAGTTTGGCGAGGAGGGGCCTGGTTGCACTTACTCGCCAAACTTGGCGAATGAAAAATATGTCAGACTCAAAAGAGTCAACGTAGCTGCCACAACAAAACAAGCAGCTTATTTTATTTATGGATGCGCTCATCCACGCGCCCCCCTGGACGAGGGGGTGGAGTTAGTGTCTTATTGGCCGCCTGACCTGACGGTTGGTTGCCTTTAATTCAAAACATCTCAATCTATATGCCATATGGTATGGAAATTGAATTTGTGCTCGCCACACCGTCGACACAAGTTGTGGCGAGTGTTTTCCGTTTCTCCGCCTGTGCACGGCGGTTTGTGGAGGGTGGTCCTTGGACCTCTCCACAAAACAACTTTCCGGAGAGTGCACAGCTTCATGAGTCTAGTTTAGGCAGACTTGTGGCGAGTAAGTGCAACCAGGCCTCCAGTTCAAGATAATTCTCTTTTTTTTCAATCTCCACCCATTCGCCACGAATTGGCGAGTAGTGCAACTAGGCCCTCATTCATGTGGCATCCGGGCCAGGCCAAAGAAAAAGGAGGAGGGGGGGGGGATGCATGGGCTGGGATTCACATCGATACGCGGCCGCAGCGGAAAAGACAAGAAGTAAGAAAGAAAGAAAAAGAGAGACTGGTCCTAGCTCAGGGGGTACTCACACTGGGACGTTTTCTACACTGCTCTGGACGTGACTGCAGTCAGCTGAGGCGTGCTCACTCTGGGACATTCTCTACAACGCTCTGGGCATGATTGCGGTCAGATCCGTGGAGGTATGGGCACAATTGCCGTCAGATGCATTCTAGAAAGTGCCAGTGCGAGTATGCCGTCAGTTGGCACCACTCATGAGGTGAGGTTGGGTCCAGATTGAATGAGTGCATACTCACATGAGCAGTTTCCAGAATGCATCTGATGCAATTACCACCAGACCTGGACAGATCTGACTGCAAACAAGTCCACAGCTTGGCAGAGCAAGTTCTAGAGTACACCCTGAGTACCAGCCAGTTCCATATAAGGCCTCGTCCTTCTTTGCCACACGGTTACGTGTATGGAGTTCGCAGCCAGGTTCAAGGCCTCATCCTTATTATGAACCAAAGGAGAAAACAAAAGGGAACGACCCGCT